TTGCTCCAGCTTGGGATAAGTGCTTGAAAGGGTGGCAAAGTTCAAGACAGTGGCATGGATGGGCTGCAGTGCATCTGGCAGAGGCCAGAGTTGCCCTATTTTCAGGATGTCTCAAAATAAAGGAGGAAATAGGAATAGGCCCTTTTGGCTACTTAGGGTGGAGACAGTCAGTGCCTGAGAAAGAGGCAATTAAAGGCTCCTTCAACTACCAGCAAGATGAGAGAAGAATAAAATGGTATATTGGGACAAGGGAAGGAACGGAGAACTCAGACTCAGTCTGCATCCCTCACTATAACCACATGCATCAGGGTAATAGTTTTAAGCAGGGCTGGTCAAAGTGCTAGTTATTTTTCCCTACCAAAAAGAAAAGGAATGTACCATGTGCCTTTCTTAAACAACCCCCCACCCCCAAAGGCTAATAATGCTGAATATTTTCAACAAAAAATCCCCAACACCCTTTTGCTTTAAAAACTGTATGTTGGGGAACTTTCAGGGAACTCAGCCCAGTCTTAAGGGTTAGCTGCAACACAGAAAGCTCTTAGGCTGTACATAGACCTTACATTTGTCATCTTGGGAGAAAGCCTTTTGTTCAGAGAGCCTACAGATAAACAAGTCCATTGACCCACTTCAATTCAGGTCCCTCAGACGGATGTGGGATAAGATGTGCTAATGTTTTTCCCGGAACGTGGCTGTATGCATCTCTAAGGTTATCACAGGTCATTCCAGGGACTATTATGTGCTTGCTCTTGCTACCTGTTGACAGGAGCAGCAATGCAACTTGGAAGGGCAACTTGTATAAATGAGTGAGCCGCACCTATTTGGATCAGGGTCAAACTCCAGGACAGCCGGGTCCATCTCAAATGAGATGCCCATTTACAGCCTTGGAGGCAACGCTTGGGCAGACAGGGGACGTGGAAATCCTGCGTTCCACCGTGGCCTCTGCGTCTGTTTTTGGACATATCAACTCTAACATGTTTGGCAGCTGTAATTCACTACCTACGGTGACATGGGTAGCAGTGCTAATCTAGGGACACCCCTGTGCCTTTGCTGCCATGTCATCCATCCTATGAATAGAACAAAATAATGTTTCCTGTATTTAAAATGGTGGCAGAAGTCCTAGCCTGACTCAGTGATGCGAGAGAGGCAGCAAGGCGTTAAGAGCTCAGATGAAGCCACTGTGTAAATCCAGATGCATCAACGAACACTACCCAAAGCGTGCAATTCCTGCAAGTTTCAAACACCTGTTTCTACATTGTTGTTGGGTCAGCCAATAAGCAGCATGCAGCTGTTTCCTAGGCCAGCCACGGTGTGAGCTATATTGACAAAACAGAACTATTTGGACACGCTTCAGGGAGCCTGGTTTTCCCCTGCTGCATATATCCTGTATCGTCAGCAACGGCCACATTCTTGAGACTTTGCGGGTTTGCACAAATGGTCCATAAACAGCTTTCTATGCCTTTTCCTCCCATTTCTAGTGTGGCCACGATCGTAACGTTTGGGTGCTCTGAGACACAAGCATCACAGGAGAGGGAAGCAGTAGGAGACCTCTCATTGTTACACTAGCCTGAGCAAGACAAAAATAGGATAAATATGCCTCCAGCGCCCAGAGGATTTGAGGGGGAAAATCCCTGCAAAATAACAAAATTCCTTGTATAGATCTTGCTGCAGATGTGCATTAGGTGTAAAAGAGGTTATTTCTACTGAGGAGTCTCTGATGTTGCTGGAATCCATGCCTAAGGATAGCAGGCAGTTTCAAGTCAATCAGCAGAGTAATACGGGAAACGCCAGACTTACTCCTAGTATCCAGTCACTGATGCATCGACCCATGAGTACACTAACCTCCCAAAATAATTCTTTCCATTTCCTTTGTGGGCCCTTGAAAGGCAGTTATAAACGAGTATGTGTTTCTTAGAGGCACAACATGTTTAAAACATTTCCCTTTCTTGAAGGCAAGAATACTTCTGGGCGATATTTTTATTGGACCAGCTTTATGGTTGGTAGAGACATAGGCAAGCTTTTGGGTATCACAGTACCCTCCCTCGGGCTTCCCTTTGTTTAAGATCTCAACATAATACTTTAAATGGGAAAATTTGCTTTAAAACATCAAGTTTACCTGGAAGCTTTTCAAATTCTTCTGTAAATTTTCTTCATTTCTACAATCATAATGCAGGCTGAGAGAGAGAAAGTCTACAGAGTCCTGCAAACAACACAAGACACATTGTTATTCCACTTTTATTTTGCTGTTAAAGACTGCTCAGAAAATGCACGCTCTCAATGTTTCTTCAAGCTGCCATTCTTATAATCAAATGCAACACACCTGTAGATGAAATGATTTACACAGACCGTAGTTTTAGAAGTCAGAAGTCTCCTAAAAATCTCAAATAAGGGGTGGGGAGGGATTTCTGTTTTACCCACTTGGTAGGACAGTGTGGAAACAAAATCAGAGTTCAGCAGCACTCCCTGACACCAATCAGATCTGTTTTGTCTATTTGACTTTAAAAAGCTAATCATCATCCACAATTAGTTCTCAAAACGGCAAGATTGAGGAAGTCTTGGCCAGGTAGATAAACCTTTGTCACTGACTACAGGGTTCAGAGCAGCTTATCAATACACCCAGGGACAAAAGTCCATTTTCAGAAACCTTCAGTTAATTCCACACCTGCAAGCACGTCCCTATTATTAATTTAAAAGCCCATGAAAACAATAGGAGGATGCTAAAACCTGTTTGCTGATTTCAATCTCAGCCTATTCTGGTACCTGAAAGCTGGTAGGGATGACTTTTCTCAGGAGATCACTCTCTCCCCCAACAGTGTCAGCAATATAAACTTGGCCTACAAAGTATGTATAGTTGAAGCTGGATCCATTAGTATCCTCAAAGCTTCTACAGCCTTTTAGAACAGCAGTTAGGAAAAAATACAGGCAGGAATTAAGATGTACTAAGTGGATTTTTATTAAGGGCTATTGAAATACGACCTCCTTTTTTTACAAGGCTATTCATAGGAACTATATGGAAGGTGACAGTTTGACAATGCCTCTTTACTGCTATACCTAACTGGTAACCCTTATAAACAGGTAAACGTTTAAAGCTGACGCACACATCTTTAATATGTCCTTATGTGGGACCACTCGTGAAAATAATTCTGTTCATAGCTGTACTTTGCAGATGAAGGTTTACAGCTTTCACCATGTTTTAATTAATGCTTACAAACCAAAAATCACAGTTTTGTTAAAAAAAACCCAACTCAGTTTCACATCACCAATCATATAGGCCTTAGTGATTCAGATTGATTTTAAAAATCAAAGGATTAAACCATTTCAGGTAATGTTAATTGGATCTGTCTTGAATCACATGATACTTAATAGAAAAGAATTGCAAAACACAATGCATCACCCTAAGAGAGGCTGAGAGAGACTCCAATGGCATCGTCTCAAAATGATGATTAATTTCTAACGCAATTGACAGTTTTCCACCTGAAAAATACAGAATGCCTGGTGTTATTACCGAGCACAGGAAATGAAAAATGAAAATTCATTGTACTTAATAAGGAAAGAGAAGTTTTTGTTTAAAAACTAATTGGAAGTCGTAAGTAGTATGTATGTCCTAGCCTGCTTTCACAAGGCACTAGAAGAAAGCAGTTCAAGGGAATAGTTTAGGTTTAAATGTTGTCACCGTGGTCTTGATAAGTTCACTGACAGTATTACAAGAAGACTGCCTGAGATAAAACAGGGATGGGCCCAACCCCTAGGTCCCATTCCATCCTACATTTCCAAGCAAGGTTTTTGGGACCAAAAGCAGTTCTCATGCTAAGTGCAAAAAAATGTGCGTTTTTAAGCCATTCAGTTATAAACCAAGGTGAACTGAATGAAGAGACCTTCAAAACTAACACCTTCCAGAGGATACACCTCCTCACTAAAGAAACCTTCTGACATCCAGGGCTGCCCAGCTCCCCGCTCCCCATCCGTATGCCAGACAGGCTCCTGGCAGAATGACACCAGCAACAAATCTTCTCCGTGTCAAAGTTCACTTTGACAAATCCACAAACTATTCATGAAGAGGCGTTTCATTCAAATTTTTTTAACCAACTTGGGAACAAGATAACCCAGTCCTAGAAGAGGCAGACTTGCTCCAAGATGCTGTCACAGGGCGGACAGTTGAAGCAGGTGGTACTGTGCAGCATCAGGGACTTTGCAACAGTTTATGAACTTGAAGAGCAGCACAAAGACAAGCTGTTATTCCACTGGAATGGAGGCAATGTGAAAGTCTTTGCACCAGCTGCAAAGGAAGCTTTCGCCCAAAACTAGCTAGAAAGACACGTGAAGATTAAACATGAATTTTTACCACAGTTTGTCTGTTTGCAAAAGAAATATTCTGTTTGATTGTGCTTGGTGTGGTCCAAATGGAGGCAATCTCCCCTCTCTCTAGACTCTGCATAGCCCCCATGCAAAAAATTAAAAGAAAAACCCTCCCAGTTTCAACCAGTCTAACCAGCACTCCGAAAAGAAGCTGGTGGCTATGACGCAAGTACTCTTCTGTGGTGATACTACAACTCACTTTTCTCACCAAAATTGGGTATTTTTACCTGTTCATTGTTAATTCCACTGTACATCAGCTAAAGCGTCCTACTTATTTTTGTGGTGCATCTTATTTTAAATTCATTGTATTTAAAAAAAACCCAAACAGTTGGGCTTAATCAAGCCCAAGGCCACCCATGTTCCAATATAGACCCTAGCTTTTAGTGCAAGCTCTGAAAGGGAAAAAAGAAAACTTATATTAAATAGCTTACAATGCTCAATTTAGATACCCTTTTTCACCCTTAAAAACACCCACTATAAAACATCTGCTGCTTTTAAATTCCTTTTGAGAAAAACTCAAATGTGGGTCAATTTTAAATCAAAGAGATTTTATAGCAACTGAAAACCCATTTCCAGAGAGATTTACTCTATCCGTACAGGTATGATCAGGGAAGAGAAAGAGAGGAAACAAACTGGGATACGGGGAAGATAAGTTTAATCATCTCCAAACCTTTAGGAAATGTACATGCGACAATCCCCATTTGGGCTCTCTTTACCTGTTGAAGAGTATTTTTCACGGTAGAGCATATATGTTCTTTCATGAGCGGCAACTAGAGCCTGGAGAGAGGATGAGGGGTCGTCATAAGGCAAGCTCTGAAGGACCTCAGGTAGGTGACTGAAGGTCAGCCACATGTCAACCAAGTCGCCGAAAGAACGGAAATTAAACTCAGCATATTCCACGAAGAGGTCCACAAAGGTGCTCGTCTTCACCATGGACCGGGTGATGATGACACCAGGTAAATTCTTGTGATGCAGAATAACCACTGGCTTAATGCTTGCAGCACTAATAGCCATCAGAAGTTGTCTATAACATTGCACTTTAGTCTCATTTGGAGTCCTGAAATTCCCCTCTGGAAGAACGTGTATCCATGGCATAAAGATTTTATAATGTGTCACACCATTTGCATGCAGGTAGGAGAGGTACTGTGGCAGGAAAGCCACATAAGGCTGATCACACAAATAAGAGTGTACATCAGCATCAACCGTTTCATTACCAGGACCCTGTTTTTCTATGAATTTCTTTTGAAAATTCAAAGGACTCACAAACTCGCTGGTTAGAGGACTAGCAATTGCAGTAACAGTCTGAGCAAATTCCCACTCTGTCCCACAGCCAGGAGAAAAGAAAAGAAAAAGTAAGACCACCTTACAAACCAGCTCCATCTTCAAACCTGCTTCAGAGTACAGCTGCTTTACGTTATTTATGTTACAGCAGAAATAAAATTAATATTTAACTCACACTATCTAGTGTGCAGATAAACCTGCCCATAAGCAGCTGATACTCAAATATCACAAAGGTTTAAATTTTCTCAATAGACTAAAAAACAAAACAAAACAAAACAAAAAAAACCCCCAAACAACTTCATAGTTGCAGCCTTTATCTGAAGAAAGGTCAAACAGAATATCAGTTCAGTATTTTCTAACCAGCCATGAAGATATGTAGGTCCCCAATTGCCCTTTAGGCTAGGGACAAAAGTTACACACATACCAGTTTAAGTGATCATAAACTGGTTTAAACCTGTAACCGGACACAAGTTCAGTGCATGTAAACCAGTTTCAAAATGGCAGAATTCCTATAAAACTCACATCTTCATGGGCTACCACTGCTTGTTATTAAACCTTTCACATTTACAGTTTGTCACGGAGTCGCAGCCAGCTAGGGAAGGCCCTGTGGCCACCTGCTTTGGCTGGGGCCGGCTGCGGGTGCTGCCGAGGGCCAGCACGGAGCGGCCGGCCTGGCCTGCGGAGGCAGTACCCTTCCCAGCCTGCCGTGGCTCACTGGCAGCCTGGCCTGACCCAAGAGCAGGGACCAATCTGGCTGCTATTGGCGATGCGTAGGGCACGTGCACCCCGGGATTGGCCTGGCGGCATCTACGGGTGGTTACTGATCGCCACCCCATTTCCCCTCACCACCAACACCGCTGCAGCCGCCTGCAGAAGCTCCCTGCTCACCACCACCACCACCTGCAGGCGGCTGTGCTCCCCCAGCCTTGGGAGCACGCAACATTCACGCTGGCTGCTCAGCTCCTTTGGCCCCAGCCAGCTGGGAAGGGCCCTGCCCCTGGCCCCGCCATGTCTGCCTTGCCTCGGGCAGCCCCAGCCCACAGGCACTGCTGAGGGTGGGTGGGGAGGGGCTAGGCCCTTTCCAGCCAGTTTTGGCAGGGGCTGCGGCATCGCTCCCGGCTCCCCATGCCCAGGCCGGGCCGTCAGGCAGCTGCCGAGGCAGCACCACACAGAGCCCCCACTCTAGCCCCTGGCTACGGGGTGGGGCAGGGCACAAGGGGAGAGCCCTGCCCGCTGCAACGGCTCCCTGACAGCCCAGAGCAAACGGGCCTGTGCCGCAGGGGCAGAGCTCTTTCCAACTGGAGGTGCGGCCGTGGGCCCAGATTGTTCCCAGCTCCACATGCCTGGACCAGGCTGAGCTGGGCTGTCAGGGAGCTGCCGCCCTGTGAGCAGGGCTCTCCCCCTCCTCCTCCTCTGCCACAGGGGGTGGGGTCTGGCCATACCCCGGCTCTTGCTGCCTGGTGCCTGCTGGGGACCAGGGTCTGGCCACGCTCCCTCTTCCCCACCCTGTCCAAAAAGCCTGGCAAAGACTGCTTCACCCCTCCCCCTCCAGACACACCCCAGCTGGGGTCCCTGCAGGCCAGGGTAGGGGTTTAAACCCCTCCTCATACTTAGGCCTGCTGGGGCCTGGCCACACCCCTCAGCTCAGCTTCCCTTGGCCACTGCTGAAGGGAGGGGAGCGCATGCTATAGCACCCCCTGGCTTCTCGCCTGAGCCACTGTAGACATGTGCCTGCACTTCCGGATTCAAAAGTTCCTGTCTACTCGCTTGCAAATTCATTCAATCTACACCAGTTAGAGTAACCTGCAAAGTCTGAATCAATTTTTGAATGTCTGTACCTAGCCTTAATGTAGATAAGCATTTACTAGGATTGTCTCTTCGTTTAAAACCTAACCCCCCACAAATTACCAATTTATTTTTGCCTTTTTCCACATAGGCTGCTAGGGTATTCTCAATGGACACAGGAGCCTAAGAGATCCTTTTAAAGATTTGAAGGTTAAAAGAGTTACTAAGTCACAAAAAACCTCACCCTCAGAATCCACAGGCACGCGGCTTCACCTTTCAGCTAATTCACAAAGCAGGACACATGAAGTTCTCTGCCCTTCTCAGGCAGAAATCACATTTTGGACCTGGTGAGTTTGACTATTCTTGCACGTTTTAAGTAAAACAAAGTGTATAGCTTAAACAAAGTGAAACAATATATAATCCAGTTCCTGCAAGTGGGAAGAGTAAAACTACTTTTAAAAGGTTTGTGTTAACTTGACAAAACTGAAAAAAAAATTATCTTCAGTACAAACATGAATATCATTAAACTTTCAAATTTAAGAGCAGAGCGAAGCAACAAAGGAAACCTGCAAGCAGAACAGGCCCACAGAGAACAAAGCATTGACAGTCCACACACATACGTTTAGCTAACTTTTATTGATTTAATAAGAAAAATACTTAAAAATTGACACAGTAAAATCCTACTAACCAAATGCTATAGACAAACAATGCAAAATTTCCTCCCGTTAAAAACTGAAGCACCTGAATAACTCCCAGGTGAACAGGCTTTGTTTGTATTGCCAGGCCTTGTTTAGAAAAGGACCACTAAAATATTGGAACAATATATAGCATTTGCATAAAAGGCAAATCTCAGGAATGTGCAACATCTGCGAATGGACAGCTATTACCAAGACAATATTTCTCTATTGCACAGGATAGCGCTCATACAGCTTTGAGTTAGCTATTCAGCAGGTACTGCAGTAATGTACAAAGAACGAGTTTTCCAATAAGCTGAAGTCCTGTGCTTTTATTCATAATCCTTAGTCTTCCATCAGATAGTTGGGGTTTACTACCAAAAATGGGTCTTCATCCAAGCTTTCTTCTTCCATGGAGCCTTTCAGCCCAGACTGCGTGAGTTCTATGAGAATGTGGTCCTGAAATCAACACAGAAGCACTTACTCAGACAAGGCTTAAAAACTGGTGTTTGTCCTTTGAGAAAAGCAAAGTCAGTCCACTGCATTTAGTCTTCTCCCCCATCTTTCTCTCCCTACTCCCGTGTGTACGATTCCATCTATAGTATTGAGATGGCTACACAGCCATGGAAGTATTTACACAGCAAGTTAATTTACACCTTTGCTGTTTAACAGAAAGCTTGCCAAACACCACATCTCTGGGGCAGGAAACAGCCTCTCTCGGCAAGTCGCAGTTTTCAGTCAGACTTCCAATTAAAGCACGCAACGCAGTTTCCTTGACTGCAGTTCTTTTTCTATAGCAAAGGCTGCCATGTTGTACAGCAAGTTATGTCATCAGGCCCTATAGCCAACTCAGAAATAGAAGTATTTTAGCTCTGCAGGCAAGAAGGTAATGAGGCAGGCCCTCAGGAGGCACATGTTTACCAAAAATTTCAGTTGCTGTGAGAGGGCTGTCAGGAGAAAAGATGGACTCTGAGAGGAAAAGAACAGAACAGAATTCCTACAAAACTCACATCTTCATATGTTACCACTGCCTGCTATTACCCCTTTCACATTTACACAAATATGCAAAGGAGACCTACTACTGTTTGGAAAGGAAAAACATCTATTGTCTGAAGATACCACCATACCCAACACTTTCTTTCCAAGTTCCTGGCCTGACATCTACAAGATGCAAGTTAAAGTACCTTTTTACTGCTCTAAACTTTGAGCACAAAACACACGTCACAAGTTCTGATGAACACCCTACATCAGAAATAAATATTTGTTAATTCTTAACCTAAAACATCCATACAATTTTTTACGTACATAGTGCGTAAGTCGGTGAATGACTCTCTCTATGATCTTCTTTTTATTTATCAGTTCTTCTTCAGACTCTATTTCTGATTCAATTTCCTGTAAGTACCAATTAATAAGCTCACTCTTCTTTAACGAGGAATCATCATCTTCTGCAAAAGAAGCCAAGGCGGTTGGAGTTACAATTCCATTCCACATTTCCAACACACACACAGCCACGCCAGGAAACCAATTGAACTCTCAAAGAGAGACTTAGTGCAGTAATATTTACAATGCTGAAAACTGAAACCCAAAACAATCTGTTAGATTATTTTATCAGAGTTATGATTTGCTATGAAATGACGTTCTCATGATAGATTACATACCACAAAACAAATTATTCAGGTAGAAATAAAAATTTAAAAAGTTTCTCAATCCCTGTCTGCACACAAACTAGATTTCTGCTTTTTCTAGGCAGCTCATCTAAAGATTCAAAAGGCAAAGAGTCAGGAAGCAGTTTGTTTAGTTTCATCTAAATGAAGATGACATTAAAAAAAGTCACAGCTTTGCCCAAAGCTGAAGACACCAAAATTTTCTAGGCAGGCAGAAAATGCAGTAATTGCAGATTATAATGTCCATTTAAAATGGCAAGAGTGATCTCCATGTCCCATCCAAATACTGTATGGAAAACTGACACACTAGAGCAAGCAGCTGCCAAGCTTCACCAGAGCAATGACTTTATCACAGCTGATATCTTCTATCACTCCTGCTTGCCACAGTTCATATCTTGCTTGCCAGCACATGCCAACAGGTGTCCTATCACATCTTCACTAGTATAATTACCTATGCTAGCTAAGGCAAGCTGCCACATGAGGCAAATCACTTATTTTGCTATGACTTTTCAGGTTATGCAAAAAGCAGGATAAGATGGTAGTATTAGGCACCAACACATTCTTCAGAGGCACAATCTTTTATAGGCTACAGCCTACTTCATCATAGCATCTGTCAAAGTACACTGTACCTTATTAAAGCTCATGCTTCTCTGAATGAACCCTCTGTAAGGTACCACCCTGCCCTACCTTCTGCCCAACTTCAAACTAACATGGCTAATTAAGTCCATCTTTTCAAGTTATGACACTGAACTCAGCCAGACAGAGGGTGCCATATCAGATGGGCAGAAGGAACTTTTTCAAGGGGCCCTGTAGCAGCTGGGACTTTTGAGCACATGCACCATCTGAAAAAAACATTATCTGCATGTAAGATACCACCTGTCACAATATTTAACATGATCACATAACAGAAATGCAAGAAGAAAAGAGGCTGCAGACATGGGCTGTTAGGGGCTCTAGGATTCTGTGAGCACTCCAAACCCTTCTGTGGGCGCAATGTAAATTTAAGTAATTACCGGCGCTTGGCACCGCATAAGAGAAGGCAAACCCTTGCTCTAGTGTCTGAGACAGAAGGAGAAATTTGTTAATGGAACTGAGGCTGGGAGGGGGAATGCAGTTTAAGGCAAGCCATTCTCATTCCTTTGCTCAACTAACAGTGTCTGACCTGGCTGAAAAAAAAAATCAGACTGTGAGTTCCTTAATACCCAAAGAGAACTTCCCTCACCGGATGTAGACAAACCCTTTTTTCCCCCCATGGACTGGTATGTGTTTGTTGGCAATGCCCATTGAATTCCCGGTTTAATAAAGCTCTTACCTTCTTCTGCTTTCCTGAGGTGCAGCACAAGGAGGTTAGAGATGCGGCGATATTCAGAGAACCCAAGTTTCAGGGAAGCCTTGGGAGCTGCCTCTTTGCTGGTATCCTCAGAGCGGCCGTCGAGTCCATTCACAAGACCGTTGACACCAGCTGGAGCTTCTGCCTCACCTGCTTCAACAATAACATTTTAAACCTAAAGCATCATTTACCAGTGGACTGCAGCACACTTCACTGGTTACCTCCAAGGGTTTTGAGAGGTTTAACTGGAACTTGAACATGTAGGTAGTGGAAGTGGGGAGGCGGGGGCGGGGGCTAACAGGGCTCAGCCCTGCCAAATGCAGGGCAGCAACAGGCATGGTCTTAGGGCTGCCTGGCTGCCAGGGGGGAGTGGCAGGCACACTCAGCTACCCTGAGCACTCGCAGACAGGATCACAGCGAGTCCAGTCGCAGACAGGTAAGTTTCTTTTAATTTTTTTTTTTTTTTTTTTTTTT